AAACTCACCACCTCTGTATGAAGGGCTGTGGGAATCACCCATATATCAACCTTAATTCGGGGCTTGGGGTTCAAACCCCAGCATTTCAGCATCTTGGGACCCCTTCTTGGCCATGAGGGCACATTGATGGCTTGTGGTTAATTTGTTGTCCACCAGGACTCCCACATTGTTCTCTGTGGAGCTGCTTTCCAGCAGGTCAGCCACTAACCTGTACTGCTGCAGGGGGTTGTTCCTCCCCAGGTGCAGGACTCTGCATTTGCCCTTTTTGAACTTCAGGAGGTTCCCCTTTGCCCAGCTCTCCAGCCTGTCCAGGTCTCGCTGAATGGCAGCACGGCCTTCTAGTGTCAGCCACTCTGTTTTGTATCCTCTATCCTCAGCAAACTTGCTGAGGGTGCATCCAGATGGCAGGAAGCCCCAGGTGCCAGTTTGGAGGCTGAGAGGGGAGGGTTAGGTAGCCATGTGCAGTACAGCAGAAGGTGGTTATCAGAGCTTCAGAGTTTACTGTGGTTTCTTTTGCTGCTGCAATAGGTGACTGTTTCAGAAATGAGGATGGAACTCAAGGGACTTAAGTGGACCCTGGAAACTTCTGCAATGTATTGTGATAGCTTTAAGTCATATAAGCAGGATTTATTTTGTGGAGGAGCACTGCTTTTTCCTGTTGCTAATCCATACCTGGTTCTAGTAAAGATGACTGCAAAGTAATTGTAATTTCACTCAGTAAGCCACAGCTGCAACACTAAGTTCTTCATATACAGAAAAACTATTTTATGTATGATAAGTGTTTGTTTCAAATTCTTGACTTAAATGTTTCAAGAAATGTAATATTGCCTGGTAACTTTGGTTTTAATATGCCTCTTTCAAACTTGTTAACAAAATTGTGCAATAAACAATAATTATTATGTACTGTACTCTATATACAAACCAGGTACTTTCTAAGCCAATACCTGAATTAACTAATAGTGTGCCTATGTAGTGTTTCATAAAGTGTTCAGAGCACATGGTTAACTGCCTGTAACCATCCTTACCTCACTCATAAGTTTCATGGTTTTTTTAATCCTGCCTTCATCAAAGGGTGACTTCTGAGCTTACTGAAGGGGCTTTGTATCCAGAAAAAAAACCCTCATCTTTATGGGCTCAAGAACTCATAATATTGCTGTAGTGAAGTATTCTGACAAATGCCTCTTTCTTGCACTTTCATAATTTCTGTAGAAGATAAATGTGAGGTTCAGCACCTGCAGAAGTTTCTATTAGAAATCCTGTTTTGATGTGTTCATAACTTTCCAAAACATTGATCTTTCAAGCTGAAATTTACTGCATGTTTTTTTGCACAAAGGTATTCGCAAGTCCTTTTTCTTTCAAGCTTATTCATTTCCTTTTTGACCTATGGCAATGTGGCAAAAAAACCAAATCCTTGGCAGTAGTAATAGGGAAAGAAAAAAAAAAAAAATTCTTTCTTTGAAAATGATCAAAACCAAATGGCTAAAGCTTGAAAATACTTTCAACAAAGTAACAGATAATTTCGGAGGGAAGAAATGTATCGATCATTCACAACAGTTGATTGTCTCCAAGGCAAACATAGCATGACTTTGTGCCTTTCCAAATGTGTGCACACTTAAATTGAATGCACACTCTCCATTTTAATTTTTATCCAACAGTCTTGAAATCAAAGATCCAAGGTGTCTGGAAGGTCAAGTTTAATAATGAAATACTTAAGTTTTTTTATTCTTGTTTTCAAGGGAAATCAAATGCAAGCACCTGTGACTTCTTAAAACTCATATTTTCATGCTGGAGACTTAGTGCTGCTAGCTGTGTTGCATAAATATTATTGCAAGTTTGTCCTTATTGCTGATAATATCAGTCAGTACAAAATTTTCCCGTTTGATGTTTATCACTTTAAAAAGAAGCCT